TGGCTCTGAAGTGCATTTTCTGTTTACCCCTTACTTCTTCTGCGTAGAGGTGCCTCATGGGAGACCCATGTCTATGACTACAGACAGGGTAGGACCTAGGAGCAATAGCTAGCCTGGAAGTAAAACACCCAGACAATGCTTTACTATAATATGCACTATTTACGAAACAACTGCAATATTCCATCTAATCCACTTGTGATATTATTTCAGTATACAAAAGCTCATAGACTAGCAAGGTTCTAGGCAGAAGTTTTTTAGATAACTATCCATCTGTGTATGTTAGAAACACTTAGCTGTTGTGTTATAATTACGTGTGTGTAGTGCACAATAGTAAAAAAGTTTGTATATAATTCAGAAAAGCTTAATACATTTTCTTAGAGGCTCCTTTTAGTATTTCATGCTTGTAGAAAAGTTCCAAGCCCATCAAGATAAATTTTGCCTTTGACAGTGATGCCAAAGACATTCTTTTGATATCTGCAAAGAATTCTGGGAAGCCAAAATGTGTTGACCAATCAAAGGGCAGGGAGGAAAGAAAACTGGACAAATGCAAGTGCTAACTAGAAAGTATGGGACAAAGCTCAAAGAGCTTCAAGAGGCTTGAAGCGTACAAAAAAGGCAACAAAAAAAAAACAGATTCCAGATGAGGTTCCTCCTAACAGTGGGAGGTCTATGTCTGCAAATAGCAGGAGAGCCAATCCATCTGGAGCCATAGTCCAGTGTTTTTTTTCATAGCACACAGAGCCTATACAAGAATAACAAGATTTCCCATAGCTTTGCCAAAGAAAGGCAATTTAGAAACATTCATCTGGCACCAACATGCTGCAGAGTCCAGCAGACAAGTCATGGGTCATGATCCCACTTCAGCTGCCCACAGATCTCCATAAGAAAACGTTCCTGGCTGTCTAGACAGAGCCCAGTTACACCCCGCGCCCTGCTCCCTGCTCCCACTAGAGCTAACTTCAGAATGGCAGACAAGTATCTTCTCCAGTGCTCAAATGTCTTGCCAGTTTGCACTTGATCCAGAATTTAATTGAATTTATTTTTTGTTGCTTTTCCTGGCCTTCATTCATTGCTTATTCTGTATACTGCTTTGAAGCTAGACGGCAATATATGTCAATTGACATACTTATTATCATTTGTCTTAAGCAAATGTGTGCAGTGGTGGAACAGTTTGTTTTAGCTGTTGCTGTCTCATGTTTGCCTGGAGAAATATCTGAGATGGTATGTGCCCAGAACATGCCACTTAATCAGCTCAACATTTGGCACATTGTCACCCAGACTGAGTTAACAGCTCACAAGGACTCATACAGGCAAAAAATGTTTTATTACACAACCATCAAACTACAAAAACCAGACTGTTAACATGACTATACTGCAGATAAATCACTCCAAATTGTTCGAAATTCAAAGCTGCATGGAATACTTTTTTTTAGTTTTAGAAATTCCCTGTACTAGCAGGAGTCCAGAGTTCACCCAGTGAACAGCACTCAGAGTGGCTGTGGCTGCTGTTTACTCAGGGTTTTATTGCATTTTTTGTAGGGTTATAGCAAAGATAGTTTTCCTTTTTTTAACAAAAACACAAACTGGGGAGCAACAATCCCTTACAGTGTCTGAGTGAAACGTTGAGACTCTGCTCCTGGGGCCAGCAAGCTTAAGGTCTGCACACTCTCTAAAATCATATCACTGCAGCAAAGTGCTTCTGAGGAAGAAGGGAGCTGTGAAATCTCATTTAGAGTCTAGCACTTTGGAGATGACTGAAATTCAAATGGGAGCAAGAAAAGATAGGGTTTATAAGTCAGCACATACAGCACCCTTTACAGAGAAGAAACGTTTACAGTTAAAGGTTACAAGACTAAAGTTTGTTCTGATGTTTGTACATTATGGCTCCGATTGGAATCTCAGAAGGAATTTAGCGTTTCTGCTTACATTTGTTTCCTGCCTCCAATACTCTTTCCTCAATAGAAAGGAGGGAAAAAGAAATAATTATCCTGAAGAGTGAGAGGTTAAACCAACACTGGCAAGTCAATTTCAGCTTCTATTTCTTTCACTGTCTCTGCAAATGAGGATCACTTGTTCCTGCACTGTCTGACGTGCTGAGCTGCATGGAGCTGTGACACGCCAGCAAGGATAAAACGTGTGTGACTTCATTCAGCTGTTTTTTAAAAAACTTCATTCTTTTGTACCACGCTCATTTCACTTTGAGCAATCAGTTATCAGGACACGGAATAATAGAACAGCCTACAGCCTTTAAAGTTCAGTACACACGCTCCCCCATCTAACAGCCCATAAGATATTAATTATTGTGTCATAGAGTGGCTGCCCTGAGAGCCAGCTGACTCACTGGCACCACTGGTCGAGCTCTGTGCCCTGGGATTCATTCATTGACACACTGTGCCCCGAAATAGCCCAGAAGAGGCAGGAGGAGGCTACCCAGAAAGGGAAAATGAGGTGAAGGGGGGGTGGGGATGTTTGGCCCACAGTTCGATGCCCAGGCCATTGCTCTGCAGGCGATGAAAGCAGCTCTCAAAGGACACACTGTCCACTTTCTGGGACTTCAAAGGGAGAGAGATGCCAGGATTTCTGCTGGAAAAGGACAGACTCAAGAGCTCAGAACACATTCACTGCAAAACCCTAATGCTGTGCAAGAAAACTTCAAGTACAAAATCGTGTCTAGACATCGTTGGTAATTTACTGTAAGCACTCAAATCAATCATTTTTATTCAGTATTTAAATTCAAGGTTTCATGGCTACAGATTTTATATAGCAGTATGTGCATAACTTTCAGTATAGCATAGCTTAGTTGTAACAAAAATGCTTGGTTATTTCCTGCACATACATTTTACAGCAAATATTTGTACCAGATCAGTATTTTCTCTGTTGCAAGCTAAGTCACATCTACAGTAGTGAACAGATAGATTTCAGGAATGACGAATCATTCAGTCATTTATATGTTGTTCAGCTGAACACAGTTTTCTATATACTAACTGCTCGTGACATGCGCTTGTGGTTGCTGTTAAACGTTTTTCTAAAAGTGCCAGAGGTGTGAGTTCATTTCCTGCTGCAGCCACTGCTCTGTTAAAACAGTTTATGCCTCTGTGTTATTTTATTTCTGTATCGCAGGACTGGCTTCACGCTATGAAGAAAGATTAGATTAAAACTAAAAGAGGAGGCTGGACATTCTTTACTGCCTTGGGGACATGTCCTCAATAAAGGTCGCCTATCCCTCGGGCTTCAGCAGGCTAGGGCTGTTATCCTGATCTTCTGTGCTGGTGTTGCAGTTGCAGCTAAGCTCCTCTTGCGCCCCAGGTCATACCTGACTGCCGTTTGATGTGAAGCCCCAGAATAGACTTTATTATACCCAGAACAGGGCGTCACTTCATCACACTGGCGGGATTTGACAAAGATTTCCTGGCTCTTATGAAAATATAAATCCACAGGAGCTCCTGAAAGACAAGGGCTCATCCAGGCACATTTATTCACCCCGGCTGTTCACAAGCCATGCTAGGGGGCTTAAGTGGTCTCTCTTTTTTTTTCTTTTGCTTGTAAAAATAAGAAATTGTATACTGAAAATCAGGAGCAGCAGAGAGCCAGTACCGTTACAGCATGCAGACTTGTTTTTCAGAGTATACTTATTTTTATCTTTAGAAAAGAATGACACTTTCCACATTTTCATGTACTAGATTAATTTGGTGACAGTACCCTGGGTTAACTGACTGGTGGGAGTTGCTCATTTAAGAACCCAAGAAAAGTTTGACCATTAGCAGATAAAGCTGAAGACCTCAGCTGTTTCTGGAAGGAATACAGGGTATGGTCAAGCTGGGCAGCTTGTTCCAGACTCTCTCAGCCCTGTTCTGGCTTTTTGTACTCTCTCACACAGTCTCCACTTGTGTCCTCTGGTGCACATTTCACTGTCCATTTTAAAGAAATCCACTGGATTGACTGTACTTGTAAGGATTTTGGATATTGGTGTCAGGTCCTCTCTGTGCAAGGCTGAGAAGGGGAGACTTGACACTTATTGGTACTCAGGACTGTGGCTGCTTAGTCTTCAGGTTCTGTAACTGCGTCCAGCATGACAGCTGGCTGATTGTTTACAATGCCCACTGTTTAAAAGCCAGAGCCAAGCAGAGTGAAAGAGAACAAAGCCGTAGTTTTAAAGGAGTAGTGTTAGAATATAAAGTAAAGGTAAGCGGGCAATGATTACATTGTAACTCCTAAACCAAGTACACAATGGGTTTGAAAACAACTTACCTGTTATAAGTTTAATTATGAGTTATAGTTTCCTTGCCTTTGAGAAGCCCTCATAACATTTAAGCCCCTGTAGGAGCAGCCAGTGGTCTGCTGCCCATTGTCTGCCACTGGTCAGTGGTGTGAGTTGGCACAGAGAGTATGGCTCAGCCCTGTGTCACGGTGGTAACCAGTGGAATGTAGCCCTGACAGGGAACTAAGCGAACGTCCAAGGGCAACAAGAATAAACAGTGCATTGGTAATGTGAGGAAGTGTTTAGGGAACAAAACAAATGTGCTAGCACTAAAAAAATGAAGTAAGCGGGAAGCTGGTTCCATAGGCAGAGGCTAAAGATCAGCAAAATATGGAAAACTGTGTTTCACAGAGCAAGCCTATCCAGACTGGGTGATACCAGCGTCTTAGCAACGGGTCTGGTAGTAAATCACCTAATTCTGGAGACTTAGTGCCATGGATTTGTGGGATTTTTAAAGTGTCTCTGAGTGTGTGGTTTTCCCCTGTTGACTAACAGGCCACATTCCCTCTTAAAGAAGGAGTGGAGCTGCGCCCTGCTCTGGGGACCTCAGCCGAGGGCTCTGACAGTGGTTCGAACAACCTGCCCGGTTAGCTGGCCTCCTCCCAGCACCCCCCAAAAGCCCCCCCACCCCTCTGCAAGACTTCTCCTCCTTCCCCTCCCTGGGGTGTTGTTAGGAACCCAGGAAAATGAGCACTTTGTCTGTGAGAGGCACATGTGAATGTTTAGGGAGCGCACGCTGAAGTGCGGCGACGTCAGGCGCTGGCAGTGCACAATAAAAGTATTCACACAGCAATGCGCTCTGCGGCAGGGGAGAGAGGGAGCCCAGCTCGCACCACTGCCAGAGCCCAGGCTGAGACGCACTGAGAAGGTAAGAGGAAAAACAGATATCTGGAGCTCAGGCGAGGAAAAGTCCAATCAGGTCAGAATCTCTGCTTCTTTTCTATTTGCTTTTTGCTGTGCAATAGCAGTTTGGTGGGGGAGAGACACACAAGGTGAACTACGGCAAAGCTCTGAATCGCTGTGTTAAAAGGGGGGAAATCATCAAATTCAGCTACTGCGCATTGCATATTTTCATCTAATCGTAAACTTCAAAACTTTCAGCAAAGCCTGTTCAGGCCATCAGGGCTGGCTGACTTTACAGGCTTAGCACTGGATATACTCTCGTGCAAGTAGCATGAAATATTTGGATTTGAACTTTAATTTTTGTAAAATAAGCCACGTTTCCAGGAAAATTCATTGAATTAAAAATGATAAGCTGTTTACAAAATTAACTGTTGACCTACAAGCTTTTTTATCATTTCACTCATGATAATGTTGCACAAATGCTTTATGTTTATAATTCTGTCTGCTACAGGGCACAGAAAGCTATTAGCTCCTGATTAATCAGTTGCTGGCTCATTGTTAATTTGAAATGTGGATCCAGGAACTGTATGATGAAAAAGGTCCAGCTGACCAATCCTTTTCCCTATGAAGTTTGACAAAGTAGATGTGACTTCAGCAAGTGCTTGTTCAGTTTGCTCATCCCTTGTGCTTCAGGAGTGTAGCCCAGGAGCTGTGATGTGTCCCTGGATACATTAAGATTTGTGATCATTAAGAATTCTTAGTCCTTAGGAAATGTTTTGCTCTCTTGGGAAATGCCTGTCACAGGCGGGGAATCGGGCCTCAATGTCAGCTCTTTCTGCACTGGATTGGGGAAATATCCTTATGGATCTCGTGCTCATTCTGTTGTGTGGTGTAATTGTTCGTGGCTGTCCTTTGCTCTGTATTGTAGTCGACAGTGAATATACATCATTGACTTGTAGAGAAGTAATTTACTTCTAAAATTTTAATTTCATTTCAGTCACACTTTTCACTTGATTGCTTCCCTTCACATGAGGGTATCACTTAAACAGGACACCAAGGCCACAGCCCAGCAGGTGTTTTATGTGTTATCAAATAATCAATAGCTGGACCGGTGGAAGAGGAAGTGAGTGGAACACATTGAGACTTAACTGAACCTGTTCAAACCATTTCTCCCCTGGGTTTTTGGTTGTTGATTTATGATGATCTAGGGGATCTCACAGCTAGGGGACCTGAGCTGTGGTCTCTCAGCTCTAAATGTTCAGGCACACAGAGGAAACAGTTTTCTTTTCCATACTAGATCGTATTCTTCCTTAGGGTAACTGGTTAATTTTCTAACTTGCAAATTAAGAGACTACTATGTCTAAGAATACAGGCACATTTCAATCAGTTGGTTATTGCATGATGAGATCAACAAAAAGCTCAACAAGAATGTTGCAGTTCAGAACATTTAGGCTTTTACCTCCGGGCACCTGCTCCCTGCCGAGTCAACTAATCAGCTCATTTCAGCACATTTTAAGCCTGTGCGTTCTGAGATGTCACCTGTGGTGAAGACGCATTCTGCAGTTAGACGGGATTCATTGCTCATCCCACATGCATTGTTTCTCTCCCCGGCAATGTCACAGTTACCCAATATATGAGTTAGTTTGTCTTGTAAAACAGTGCCTGAGTAAATAAATGCCATGTGCACTCATGGTTATCCCCTCAGGTCAGTCTTTCACATGTGGATTGCTAGTTAATAGCCCCACAGATGTAATGCCTGTTGGAAGTGTGTGTGGGGGGGTATATCTGAGCTATAATGAGAACCTCTGCAAAATACATCACTCAGGATGCACATGTCCACCTAATCCGGCATCTGGCGAGACGGCTTTTCAGGGACAGGGAAATGTCTGTCCCTGGCCTGAACCCCAGCTGTCCCACTGGGGTTGGAAACTCCTCGTCTGGCATCCCCTTGGGACTCGATCCCAGGTCTTCCGATCAAGTTCAATGGACATGTCCTGCCGGAGATAAAATTCCTCAGTTACTGCCTTCGCCTCAGAAAACAGAGCCTCTTGCAGAGGTCTGACGCACAGCCTCTCAGCACCGCACTCTCAGCACACAGCACCTATTCTCAAAATGGAGCAGTGGTTCATGACCTGATCTCAGGCATCTGGAGCAGATGGTCATATAGAAGACTGATATCTGCACACAGTGGCTCTGCGTATAAATTTGACTGTTACTCCATTTTTGTATCTGTGCTCATTTCAATAGGATATGCCCTCCTAATGATCTATGTTTTATAAGAGCATCTGATTAAGTGTAAACTGAATATGACAATATTGTATGAACTCTCCAATTGCAGTTTTCCTCCTCCCATCACCTCCCATATACTTCCAACTCCTGGGAGGATATTTGTTGCAAATAATATGCTGAAGATTAAAATATTTGCTGAAAGGACATGGATGGATAAGGGGAAAGGATCTGGTATTTCAGATTACCTGGAATAATCTTAGTTTTTGAATGTAGAAAATCTGTGTCAAGAAAACTCTGTTTCATGGGGTTACATTTAATAATACAATGGTGAGCTAGGCCTCTGTCTACATGTGGTTTGTCTGGAGGCAGTGTAACTGGAGTATAGCTCTGCTGAATATGTCAGGAATATTAAGGCCATGCGGTCTGCATTCTTTGTCCTGGAACCTCTGGTCCAGTTTGATCGCCGCTGACTTCCTCCCTCTGGCCATGCACTTCCTCCAACCTTGAACTGGTCCTGGTACAGGGTGCCGAGCTCTGCAGGAGAATGATGGGAGAGTGGGGGGACTGGGGAATTGAATGAAATACATTTCCCCGGATGAACATTCGCTCTGGTCAAATTGTCACCTTTCATTTGGGCTCTCTAAGAGCCGTGATGTGATGTCGCTATAGTGTGAAGTGTGCTCTTTCTAGTCTGTGGATTATCTTTCCACATTTGTACCTCTAAGTGGATTTCTAAATAAATCTCCCATGAAAAGCTAATTTTATTAAACCTTTACCTCCAGTTAGTCCTAAACCCTATCATTTTTCACAATTCTGGAGTGCTGGAAATGTTACTGTCAGAACTGTGAACCTCAGTAATTAGCCAATTGCATGGGAGTTTTTAGCTGAAATCCGGCATGGCAGCAGCCATGTTCTCTTTCCTTTGGAACTCCACCTTCAGGTCTTCTGTGATGTCACTTCCTGTAAAGATACACATACCTCAGCGAGCCCCACTCTCTTGCTCACACCTGTCTGTCTGCCTCTTCCCTCTAGCTCATCTCCATCTGTGCAGCTCCCTCTTGATTACTTCCTCACTCTGCGGGGGGTCCTGAATTCCTTGTCCTACATCAAGGGTGTTGACCCTCAATGAAGCACGTTCAGCCTGCCAGACTCCCCACCACACAGTGTGCGCTATTAGTGAGTTATTTTTTCTTGGTGCAGTTTTATTGTGCAATCTGAGTGTTGCAAACTGATTGGGGTCCATAAGAGCCTCTAGAGGAGCCCTGTGTGTCTGGCAGTGTCTCTTCGTCTGGGGACAATGCTCCCTCCCACTCAGTTTTCTTTTCAGTGTTTTTATTCTTCTGCTCTCCTCGGCTGTTTTGGATTTTGGTAGCTGTAACCAAAAAATTCCTGCATGAGGTTTTGCAAATCTGGTTTAAATAAAATGTCACTGCTGTCTGCCAGTGCAGCGATTTCTTCCCTTCTTTCTCTGCTGCATGCCAGAGGGCTTTAATTGTTTTGATTGCTTTGGTTTGCTGGGTGCCGTTTGCCCACTGTATCTTCGGGTGGGCTTTTTTCTCGGGTTCCAGTCCTTTTGTGTCTCAGCTTGTGGGCATGCTCACAAGCGTGTGAGGCGCACACAGTGAAAGTTTTGCACAGTGAAATGTCCCTGTATGAGCGGATGCCAGGCCAGTTGAAGGAGACTTTTTAACTGCTTCCAGGATGTTGTGTTCAGCCTGGTTATGTCTATGCAAAGGGTCCTCTTGTGCACATAGGATCTCACATGCTCCTCCAATTTCCTTCCACAGTCCAAGGACAATAATCGTGTGCATTCATTTGAATCTGTACTGTACATTGGACCTTATGTATTTGTGGGTGTCCTATGATGGTCTGATGTCCCATCCAGGGTGTAGTCCCACTTTCAGCTTTAGAATCCTTATCAACAGGTGTATTAGAGACAGTGTAAGACACATCAAGTTAGATAGAACTACCCAGCACTGCAGCACAGCGACTCCCAGGAGGAAGCAACTTGACTCCCCAAGTTGACTCCCAGGGCCTCCTGACTGGAGAAACTGGGCAAAGCGGTGAGGAGACCAGGCAGGTGGAAAGGCTTCACATCATGCATCCCTATCAGTTACCCTCAGTAGGATTTATTCCCTCAGAGATTATTAGAATTATTAGCAGTTGGATTAATTATATGGTAATGACATAGTAGGACTAAGTGACATGTCAGATGTTTGTCAGCAACATTAAACCATTAGCACTAGAATAGATGTGTTATTAAACAGGAACATATAGTCTTCATCAAGCATGTTCATTATGAAAATTAAATTTTACCAACCACTCCAAATTTCCAGCATCTCAGGTGACAAAATCATCACCTGAAAAATAGGTTATCTGAACCATACATCTAATACCATTAGAAAAAATATAAAAAGTAACTCAAAAGAACCTACAAAACTCTTGAAATTATTTTGGAAACTCTTAGTCTATTTTATTTATAAGTAGTTCGTTCCTGCCTTTTGAAAGTGCATTAAAGAAGGGAAAGCCATGGTTTTGTACTTGTATAGTGTCCCATCCTCTGAAAGGCAAACTTGTTGGTCCGCACCACAGAAAAACAATGGCAGTTTCTCAGAAGAACCTGAACAAATTCCCTGTGATGCAAAAAAAAAAAAAAGATTTTCAAACCCGCAGATCTGTCCTCTGAGGCTACAGTAGCTTCTGCACTAATTTAAACACCGATTCCCAAATGGGTCGCCTTTCCATTTCTATTGAGAAGCCCGTTTGATCTTGGAAACGCCCATCACGTTTAATCAGTGTGGAAGGATAAATCTGCCTGGGATTTCTCAGCTCTGTTGCAGGACCCCAGACCCCAGGATAGGTTGAAGAGGAAGAGAGCGCGGACAGACGCTACATGTACAGACCTTGGGACCCCTGAGGCGAATTAGTTTAGGATTTAGAACGCAAAAGACTGCCGAACACTTGATCCTGCTGACCCCTGTACCCAGAGCAGTTGTGCAAACATTTGGCACAGACGGCACAAGGATAATCTTGCCCGGCGCTCCTGGAGTATTTTAAAGAAAACAGGCCCGGCTGTCATCATGAATAGTAGGTTAAACAAACGCGGAGCAAGGTACATGCCCTCCGTTTGGCACAGCTCCTTGACTCGCATCCCCGGCGGGTCTCGCTGGAGCCCTACCGCTCGAGACAGATCCGAGCCGCTCTGCCTGGCCCGCGCTGACACCCGGCTGAACCCGCACACTTCTGCAAGCCAGCTCCCTGGTGCCTGTTTACGCTCTCGCCTGGCTCCCCCTTCCTTCATTTTTAACTTTTTCCAATAGCAGCCATTCCTTCAAGCACATGGAAACAATTAATCCAGAGCTGCGTCTGCAAACATTTGCTTCTTGTGGATGTTGAAAGTGTGTGTTGTTGCAGTGAGCATGGGGGACCTTTGGAACTGGCCCTCTTTGCATGTATGATTAGACATCATATTTTGATCACTAAGAAAGTGTGATGTTTAGCCATAGACATGAAGTACTTCCCTAACCTCAACCACCCAGTGGTTCAGAAAGTGGTCTTTAGGAAAGCTTTTTCCATATTTATCCTTAATCTGTTAATGAGCTGGAGAAAAACTGAGGTATCAAACTCAGAGATACCCAGTTGTCAATGCACTTAAAGTGTGCGATACTTAAACGAGGCTGTCTGTGGGTGATAAACTGATAAATTCTGAAAGGTTACAGAAAGGTGACTGCTGGTAGTTAATGGATCCAAGGGTCTCATCCAGCTGTTTCTTGAAATAAGCTTCAACCACACAGCTTGTTCCAGACATCCACAATCCCTTTTGTCTTTCTTTTCTAGTGTCTGAGTCATTAGTGAATAGTTTCATTTCAGCAAGATATCAAAACCAATAACACAAAAAAAAATTGCAGTAAGATTTAACTTCCTTAACTTCCTGACTAGACTGCATGCTGCCTTAGGAGTCTGATGATTTTACCGCCAAGAAAACAAGCGCTTGTTTTTTTCTGACCATGCTGTATATGAAGTAGCTGCAGAGGAGATCTGGTGTGTTGAGAAACTGCTTCCGTAAAATAAAGGGTTAAAGATGCAGCGGTCACTGAAACTCATTAATCATCTGGTCTTGTGCAAAAAAAGTGAGAAAAAAGATGTTTTATTACTCCTTGTGGTCTGCAAAAGAGCCCTATAAACAGCTCATTTGAGCTCATTCATCCCTGTCAGACACAATTAGGGGTCAATTATGCCATTGTGGAAGTGGCAGGCTCAAGAATAACACTGCTAAACGTGCCCGCCTGCCTGTGTGTTCTGAATGAACTCGTTGTGGCCATCAATGCACAGACCTCCACTGAGCACTGACCCCTGGGCAGAAAGCCTTTTCGATGAGAAACAGAGCAAAGCCACTTGTCAAGGTCTTCCAATCACCCATCTACGGTTCCTGGCTTTTCTTTCTACAGCAATTTCACTTTTATTCCTTTTTTCCATGACATACGTCCAGATCTTTAAAATATAAAAATAAACTTTTGGGGAATAATTGGAAATTACTATATGAAATAATTTTAAAAACATGATTTCTTTTAACGTCAAAGCCAATCATAAGGATTACAGAGCTACGCCAGCATCCTTTCGTGTTAAGAATAAGTCACGCTCTTTGCAAATTCATGCACAGCACGGTCCTCTCTTCGTTGTAATTGTCTGACATAAAACATAACTCCAAAAGATACATGGTGAAAGTGACAGCACACTAACTGCTGACTGCAAGACGGCCAATTTGAAATCAAGTTTGTTAAAAAAGTATTTGCCTCTTAATTTAAAGAAATGGTTAAGACAACATACATGCTGCTGTATTGTAAATACGAATATCAAATGATGGAGCACAAAGTTAACTGGTATACACTCTAGCCAAAAGTTGTATTTGATACATTTGATACAAGTTGTATTTGATTTGGCCATTATATTTTGTGATAGGCTTGCCATAGATGTGTAAGAAAAGTTCAAAAAGGTATGACTTTTTCCCCTATTTTATAGCAAGCAGCTAACTGGTCCCAGAACTGCATTCAGCCATTCCTTGTAGGATCCCAGACAGTCAATGTACCTACAGTATGAAGATAATCCAGTCACCCACTACTCTTTGTGTATAGACCTTTCTCCCGTATTCAGTCTATAAAACATATGTCTGCCCTTAAATTTCTCTTCTAACTGTCTGGTGTCCATTTCAGAGCAGATCCTGAATGTGTCCCTGGTGTTCCCTTTGTACCTTTGCATACGTGTGCTTCAATCACACACCCCCATGGCCTCTTCTGTTTATCCAGATCACACACTGTAGTATACCAAGGTAAAGGCGAACACCGCAAAAGCATCGCACGGTATGTAGAGTCATAAGACAATAGCAGAGATATCACGGCAAAGCAAGGTAAATGCTTGAAATAGAGCATGGCAAAGCTGCGCTGTATAGTGGAATGTTACTGCGGTAATCCTCCGTGTGTCCCAGCAGGTAGATTCTACCTCCAAGTGCTGACATCACCGCTGTCTGCTCTGATCAGTCTCTGGCAGGGGAGAACAAGTGTCTGCAGCTGCTCTCGGTGCTGCGGCGAGGAGAAGCAGGACTCTTTCCCAGCACCCCCACACTCCCTCCCCCTCGGCCCTCGGGTACTGGCGAGGTGTCCTGAAGTGGCAGGCCTGTGGGCACGAGCTGTCCGCTGCCAGGCTTCCCGGAGACCGACTGCTTCCCATTGACTCAGCCCTCATTTCTCCGGCGCAGCAGAAGCTAATTAACCAAGAGCTCAGCAGACAGGGCAGCCAGCCAATCAGACACCGCAGAAACCCAATCGCTTCTGTGAGCAAGCACGGAGAGAGTCGGGCCCTGGGTTACACAACAGCCCTTCTGTATCAACATGTACCCCATCTGCACGCTTAAATGCTATCCAGTCATGTTGGCAGCCCCTGGAATCTCCTCTAAATTTCTTTGGGTTGTTTTGTAAACTTATCAACTGTTCCTTTTCCGACCCCAAGGCCCACTGCACAGAAAGTCTGATTGGTCTCGGTACCTCTCTGGGATTGTAACAAGCCACTGTCCACTTGCTGTCCAAGTACAACCCACCACAGTGAAATCACAGAGCCAGATCCTTGAGGCAAAGCAGGGTGAATCAGATTTCTTTCAAACCTCGGAAACAAACCAGTGGTGAAAACACAAGGATTCTCCTAAAACAGCACGCAGAGTTTTAGGGGTAAAGGTTGTACCATTGGGAAAGGTTGTACTATTGAGTCGTTGAAAACTATAACAACAATTCTCCAGAAAACATGGAAAATGATTAAGCATTTGTCTGGCCAGGTGAGTCTTTAACAAGGCCCTGTCTTGTCTGTACTTGCAGGTCCAGAGCTCCGTTCAGCGAAGGATGATGAAGACTCTGCTGGTGCCCGTCTGTGTGCTGCTGGCGTGCGGGGGCGTGTCAGGAGGGGGCTATGCCCCCCTGCCCCAGGTCAAGTACGTACAGCCTATGATGAAGGGGCCAGTGGGACCTCCTTTCAGGGAAGGCAAAGGTCAATACCTGGGTGAGTGCTCTCATTCCAACTCCTCAACTCAAACTGAACAGGCTGCTGTCAGTGACCTGGAGAGTTAACGTTTTAGTTAAAGGGGCATCTTTTTAAAAAACAAAACAAAAATAGGATTGTCAATTATTTGTTGCTGTACCTATCCGATTTGGAAATTCCCAACAGATTTCGGAATCTGTGTTTTTCACCCTCGGCTTGCAGTTATGAACCCTGCATCCGCACACAGGAGAGAGTGAGAAATGGCAGGGAGACTAACCTTTGAGCCATAAGAAGTAGCTTTTAGGGCCTAACACCCAATGTAAGAAATCTTGCCTATTAAAGCATTAGACATGCAAGGTGTGGGGAGCTTCATCAGTGGGCAGCGTTGGCTGGAAAGGAAGATGTAAAGGTTAATCCTGCCATGAAAGTAGAGAGGAGGAACTCAAAACGTTTCGCCTGCAGAACCTCTTCAGGTGTGCAGAGGGCTCAACTTAAGAACGTTTAACTGCTGAAACATTCTTTCTCCTTTTCATTTTTCAGCATGAAATTAACTTTTTCCTCCCCATGAGACATACAGGCATCTTACAAGGAACATCAGGGATTCCAATTGTCTTCACTTCTCATTCCACCTCTTGTTCCTTTAAAGTCAAAGGCGGCTGCTTCCCCCTTATTAAAGCAAGCCTGCTCTACGGAGAAGAACAGGAGAATTTAAGTGTTAGTGCGGACAGGATTCTGTATACAACTTCTCTGCTGCTGCACCTGTAGTCCGAGGAGCTGAAACTGCAGTTCATCTTTGGGTCACATGCAAGTTGGACCACATTAGATACAGTATCGGTATATGTGCCATAATTCATCACAGCTTCAGTACCTTGCTCATTTTTGCCTTATTACTGTATAGCTCATAGCGGAAGGCTCTCTGGAGCACTGGAGTGTGAATGGCTGAATCGCCTTAGAGCATTTGTCCACTGCAGAGTCCGGCGTTTCGGTGCTGTGCTGTACCTCCTGTGCTGTGTGCCAGAGCTGTGGGAGTCTTCAGCCATGCAGTGGGGTTAACGATGTGTGCGGTGCAGGCGGTTCTGTGGGGGACAGGCTGCTGTGCTCAACACAGGGGTGATTTATGAGGAGCTCAGTGCATGAGCAGGTGGAAAGAGAGATGGGGGTTTGTGACGGCTCCCCAGAGGGCAGTATATCAGCGCGCCGTGTCCCTGGTGCGGCGCTGGCACTGGGAGAGGTGCGCAGGGACAGTCGACAGAGTGATGAGAAACACAGCGCAGACGAACACCGCTCGCGCGCACATTCCTCCCTGCGGGAGCGAGCAGGAACAGCATCCAGGCTCTTCGAAACATGTTTGTTTTGTGGCCAAAGGGGGAGAGAAAAACATGAAAAGAAAAAAATGTCAAAGCAATGTATGAGAAATATATGTAGAATGGAAAGGGCTGAGAGGATAGTTTACTTCTGTTAGTGACAAAATGGGCATTTTAGTAACAAGACAGAAAAATCTGAGCATTACATGGCAGAAAATGACTTTTTTCTTGCAGCTTAAGCTCATTTTTCAACCAATTAGCTATTCATTTGTGTCATTCACATGATTCCCCAAAACCTGTTTCATCCCTTGCATGATTGCCCATTAATAAACCCTTCCAGGTTTAACTCTGGTTGGCATCCAAGCAGAAGATTCCAGTCAGGCTCAAGCTCGGCATCTGGTCATCATTAGCAATGTTTTTCTCTTTTCTTCCTTTATTTCTCCCAAAGGACAGAAATACAAATTTTTTGCAAGCCTGTCACTCTGATGGTCGAGATAACAATTACTGCTTTCTCCGACTCCTCACTCAGTCACGTCACCTTATTTGCCCTGGATTGTCGGATTTGTCTTCACCAGAAAGGCATCTTCCCCAAAAACACGATGGCTCCCCAGAGCAATGTGTTTAGTAATATCAGTCATTTAGAACAGCAAGGAAAGAGCCTAGATTGCTATAAAACACACAAACAATTCTTCTCCCAAAGCAAACACACACCAAAGACACTGTGGTGAAAGCCCAGGAACACTCTCAAGGGACCTGGAAAGTGAAGTCTATCAGACCTCTGACGTTCTCACTGCCCACGCACTACAGGAATCTTGTTGACCGATTGTTCTGAATTGTAGCACAGATATAGCACATGCAGTAGGATCTGGGGTTCATATGGAGAATATCAGCACTACTCCTAGTTGTCCTGCTTTTCCTGGCCATTTCAAACATGTCATTCTGAGATCCTGGTTTTTTTTGCTGTCTCTTCCTTCTCCCTTTGTGTGTGTGTTGCCCCACTTCTGTCTTTTATACTGAAAATGCAGCAGAGTCCAGAAAGAGGAAGCTACGAGATTAAATCTGGCCTGTGGTCAGGCTATGTTTTTGTTGCGTTAAGCCTAACGGTTTGGGTAAGCGGCCAGTCTGGACACCTGAACACATTTTCTACCGAAGATAGCCCAGAAATCTGTTAAACAAGATATGGCAATTACAGTATATTAAGGAATTTTGTTTTTAATTGTCTTCTATGTAGTCTCCAGCTAGGAACGGGTTTGTTTTTCTCGCCATTGAGATCTGGACCAGGATCTGATGCGTGACATCCGCCTGCTGCCACGCTCTCCGCAGTGACGGAGGGAATGAATTGACCGGGGAGTAAATCAGTGCTGCCAGCCCCTTGCACACACTCACTGCCCCACAGTGCTCTAGTCAGGCTGGTCAGCCTCCGGGTCAGGCCGTCTCTGCGGGGCAGGTTATACAACAAACACCCTTGCATCAGGGTGCCCAGTTTGTGGCACTGGGAGCCAGTTTCTGAAACGATGTGAGAGAAGTACAGGCGGCACTAAAGAAGCAGGGGAGGACTCCCCACCTCCAGAGCCACACTCCCGCTGGGGTGGTTTAGAAAAAGCAGCATGAAAGCAGAGGCCAGAGGCTGAGATGTCCTCTGCTTCTGTGATGGAGAGAGCCGAGAGCTGTGGTTTTCTCCAGGGAGGAGTTTTTCTAAAAGCACCACTCGTGTTGCTCTCTGAACTGACTCACACCACCTGCCGTGTGGCTAACTCCATGACAGGAGAAGGAAGCCCTTCCTTTGTAGAGCATCACTGCGACTCAGAGGCTTTGAAAAAACAAAAGTAATCTTTTTTTTTTTTTAGCAGCAAACAGCATTCCTGTTAGGATTAATGGTTTGAAAGCAGGGCACCTCACACCTGAAGAAGGCTCCACAGCCGAAACGTTGTTTTCTTTCTTCTCTTTTCAGCATGGAATAAACCTATTAATTATTTTTCTTGTTATTTGGATTTTTGGACTCCTGACGTGCTCAGCGCTGTGTGGGAAAGTAAGAAACAAACATCTGTCTGCAAGATAATTCTGAATTCTCCTGTGCAGTTATTGTACCGGCCTGTTGCCGGCGCTCCATGCACATGTGAACTCGTGTGTTTAAATACCGTACAGCAAAGAGACTAGGCTCTGTAACTCGCACCATATTCACGTTTCTATCCCCACCTACTGGGCAAAAGGCTGCATTGCACGACAATGTAAAAACCTACAGCTGAACATACAATAACTATTTTTTCATTATTTTATTAGAGTTAGAATGAAATGCTTACACGCAAAATACTGTAAATGCAGTACTGAGCCTTCAGACAGAGAACAGTCAGTCCGTCACCCTCAGTGTACAGCAGTACGTTTTTATGTTCAAGGAGCTTCATTCCAGTTGGAATGAAGCAGGAGCTGCTCCAGCATCTCGGGTTTTCCTTTCTCTTAACTCGCTCCATTTTCAAAGACACGGCCTCCCATGAGCAGCACTGAGGTCTCCACTGTTTCAGTCCACGTGGATTCTCCAGTAGCGTCGCTCCTCTGTTGTCAGCTCAGTTGTAGGACAGGTCTTTCTTGTGTAAGTCAACGAAGTCAAGTTTTTTTTTTTCCCTCGGGCGAGTCCAGCGCCTCCGCTGGCTCTGCTGCCAAGCACTGGTCGCAGAGAGCGCGGCCCTCGCTGTGGGATGTTAAAGCAGCGCTCGGCCCTTCCCACGAGGAGAGGCGGGGGGGTCTCTACATGCCCGGGTATCGTTCCTGCGCGAAACCCGCAAAACGCTGCGCTGTTGCCCCCCACGGCACTCTGTACACCCTCGGACAGCACGCTGACAGGGGAGCTGGGAGCGTCTCGGCTCCCCAGCTCTGCGCTTGATATTTCCGGGGGGTGGAGGGGTGGGAATCCGTCGCAGGCAACGTGAAGCCAGCTGCCTGGCAGTGGAGAGCACCCCACTGAAGACAGCTCTGGCGTCAGGTGCAAATGGGGCCTGCAAGGGAACTCGGCCTGCTGACCAAGTGGCAGCCCCCATACTCAAGCGGTCAAGTATGTCAGAAGCAGTCGATTGGCATCTTTACAACATTTTTTGTTTTGAAAAGACGCGCAGCGTGGCTTTTGTATCTAGATGTATGCCGAGGACCTAACCCAAGTACAGCCCTTTCTGATTAACAGCAGAAAAAGGTGCCCTGCTTTCAAATTGTTGATCCTAACGGGCATGCTGCAGCACGCAGACACAGGCGAGCTTTTAACGACGCAGGTACGAGAAGAAACAGATACAAAGCAGGTACAGACGAGCTAAGCAGGTACAAGAGGAAAAGTGGCGAAAAGTGGCACGCACCTGGAAGAGCAACACCAGAGCCACGCCAAACGACCGGACCGAGACTTATCTTGACATATCTATCGATTTTGTTTTTGCCACCTGTTTTCTTTTTTAATTATTCTGAGAACTGAATGGTCCTGCAGCTTCTATATTCCATTGATTTTACTGAAATCTGTTCTAAACAGTTCGTGCTCTATTTATCCTGCAACACCGAGATTCCCTTATTATGAATTTATTTTTCATATTATATTTTCAGTCTCTAGTTTAAAACAAAAGTCAGAGTAAAATCTATTTACTCCTTGTGGTCTGTATCTCAAAAGTGATCTTCGTCTTATACGTTTATGCGCTCTTCATGACAATTAGAAACCATAATTTCCAACTTTTAAGCTTAGACATTTATTGTAAGGAATTTAAAGTAACGGACAAAACAGTAAGCTTGGAAAAACCCCTGTAAAGTTGGGGCAAATACCAAGCAAGTGTACCGAGCTCACAGAAGGCTATCCCGGAATATTCTTCCGCGGCAGCTGCACTTTCACAGTGTCGCCACAAGATGGCAATCTTTCACCAGCTGGACCGCACTTGCGCTCCGGTGATTTTCCTAAAAACGTTATTCGACTGAAATTGTTGTAAATACGAATAGGACCCATCATAGTATTTTTAAACGATTTTATCTGCTTTTGAGTGAGCAGTTCAATCTTTCGCGTGATTTGTAAACGTAGGTTTTTGTGTTGTAGCTGCAGTTTTCTGGACAATAATTTGGTTAAATCCTTCTTCCACATCTGTAAAACATTCAGACTTCCAGAGAGCGACTGGCTTGTAGATATGAACCAGATACACCGGGAAATTGAATACTGTGATTTATTGTCCTTCGGTCTGTGATTTATTATCGTGATTAGCTCAGGAAGGGAGCAAATTGCCTTTTAAATGCTAAAGTAGATTCAGGAAATAGAATTTTTAAAATATGTTACAATAAAGGAGGTCATTCAGTTCATCTATAAGTTTGGATGTTAATAGCTAAGTGATGCACAGATATTCAGCTGTTTCTTGAAAGATGCCAGGGTATCAACCTTAACAAAAGTAGCCTGTAGGTTAGCAAAGGAACAAGTAATGTGAGCAGTGTGAGCCCTCACACCTGAAGAAGGCTTCAGTGCCGAAACATTGTGTTTTCTCTCTTCTCTTTTCAGCACAGAATAAACCTGTTACTTGTTCCTTTGCAGACTATGCATTCTGACGCAGCTACCCACCTGTAAGTTAGTTTTGTCAGTGGCTTGAATCAGTTTCTGTCTAAGTCTTCTGTTATTGCCTTAGTGAACAGCAAGTGGGATTCAGTTCCTCCAGCCAGTCAGGGTGGGACACTCCCTTCATACTAAAGAGACTCAGTTCCTTCGGCATGTCAGTGTGAGGGAGTGCTTTGAGCCCAGAAATGTATCGGACCGCTCTTCACTAGACTGATTCCAGAGCAGCAGCGTTTTTATTGTAGCAATGGGCACAACATTCTAAAATGAGGTTCTACCAGTGTATTATTTAATAATACCAGTGTATTATTAAAAAATATTTTATTACTTTATTCTTCTGCACATCGAGAAGTTCAAGCACAGCTGCAGCGAAGAAGAATTGACTCAATATGTACTGTATTGCTGCGGTGGTTCCGACCCTGGGCTTGTCAGAGCAGCTGTGTGAATAAGATGAAATGAGTAAAACGACGAGCCCTGAGGACGCTGTTCGTACAGGAGATGCGCTTTTTAATGTCAGCGGACTGGAGACGCCACATTGTTCTTATCAGAGAACCTCCTGACAGAAACAATGGAGCTCATAATGCAGAACGAGAGCAATTGTACCGCATACAGCTGTGTTCCGAAATATTGTGGAGAGAAAATCAAATAAACAGACAAACGTGCTTCTTTAGGGAAACTCAATATTTCATCAGCAAGGGTCATAAGGCGAGGACTCAGCGCGATTACCCATTGCAAAACACAGCCCAGAACTTGACGTCTTCTTGTCTGGCAGCAGCTTTTTTCTCCCACCCAATGGAAAGGCTCTGTGCTCTCGGTTTGAAATCTGGGACTGGTTTATGAGCCACAGTCCTGATACAATCCAGCCCCAAGCAGATTTATCTGTGAAGAGACATCCACCCCTTCTCTCTTCTCCAGCTCTTCCAAGAAAAAAATAGCACAGGTCGAGCTGCAATGACGATTATTTTTGTCAGCATTGCCACCACTAATTTTATTTCAGTCGAGACCCTTCTCCACCTCCCCCGAAACCGACTGGAAAACAAGCAGCCAACAGCACAGACAAGCATTCTGGCTCTTTCCAGCAAAAGGCTGTGCCGGATTTTCCTGGCTGTCCCTTTCAAAAGGCACTCAGCTTGCCTTTTTCCCTTATCAGCTGACCGAGGTCATGGCTTGTGTGTAATTATAACCATGTGTGGGGTGACTGGGAAACATTAACTGGGATATAAGGACAGGGATAATCTGTTGGCAGAATAGTTTAGTCTGCCCAGCAGCAATAAAAAAGAGCTATAAACTAGGCCCTGATTGATTTACAGCCACAGTCACAGGTACATTTCAATCAGGCTAGTTCTGGTCTAATGCTCCTCATTAAAGAGCTAAATGTGTGTTAAAAAGTAAAGATTTGTATTGATCAATCATCATTAAACCTTTAAAAGATAAAGTGCACATGCTACGTAATTGTAGCCATAAGTATTTGCATCCTGTATAGTTTCTTAAATTAATTGAAGAATAAGTGTTGAAAAGGTTTGACTGACAAAGAAGATTCAGCAAACAATACTTATTACATGTCATAACATACAGAATAACTTTGTTTTAGACGCATGCCAATTGTCATTTCTGAAGCTGTACTTTTCTGGACATGTTTGATGAATGCTTGCCTATTCTTTCATAGTCTTCCAAAGCATAATGTTCTCTGCAGACAAAGTTTTACTAGCTTCTATCTTTAAAACCCGACTGAGTCAGAGTTATTTTCCATGGATATTTTCTTTTTTTTTTTTATTGGCGTCCGTTTTCTCTTTGCTCGACTTCCTCTTGCAGTCATCGACTGTTTTGTGTGAAAATGCACATGTTCGGGCCCGGCAGAATAAGACCTGTTTAGGCAAGAGTTTACGGTGCATTGATGTGACGGGAATCGCTCTTTCCTCTTTCTGCGGCTTGGAACAAATGGGTGAATGGTCCTGCAGTCTGTAAAAAAGTGCCCATGCCTGCCAGCTGTGACTACATGTGGTGGATAATTGGCTGTCAGGTGCCCCATTATCTTCAGTACTGGATGCCCCATCACTCACCAAAGGCATCTCTGTCTGTTTCTGTTGTCTTAGATTTACCACCTGTGCTGCCCATGGAGCTGAAGGGGGAGCCGGGCCCACAAGGCAAACCGGGCCCCAGAGGTCCACCGGGGCCACCGGGATTGCCCGGGAAACCAGGAGTGGGAAAACCGGGGCTCAATGGCCAGGCCGGGCCCCAGGGACCCCCAGGATTCTCCGGGATTGGCAAGCCGGGGCTGCCGGGGCTGCCTGGGAAAGTGGGGCAGAAGGGGCAGCCGGGGCCGATGGGGGAGCCGGGCCAGCGCGGCGAGCCGGGGCTCCGGGGGCTGCCAGGGCAGCCGGGCCTGCCGGGGCCCGCGGGCCTGTCCTTGAACGGCAAGCCCGGGCTGCCCGGCGGGAGGGGGCCGCCGGGGGCCAGGGGGGAGCCGGGGCAGAAGGGCGGGCAGGGGGCTCCAGGGGAACGTGGCATCAAGGGGGAGAACGGCAACGGCCAGCCAGGCCCTCCGGGGCCCAGGGGCCCCAGCGGCATCACCGGACCTCCCGGGCCGCCTGGCCTGCAGGGGATAGGGAAACCAGGGCTGAACGGGCTGCCGGGGCCAGTGGGGCCCAAAGGAGACCAGGGGGCCCCAGGGGAACCTGGGCTAACCGGGGAAATGGGGCCGCCAGGTCTGCAGGGCCAGCCGGGATTAAATGGAGTGGGCAAGCCAGGCTTAGCCGGCTTGCCTGGAGTGCCTGGAACGAGCGGACCCAAGGGGGAGCCAGGTCCAAGGGGTGCTCCCGGATTCCCGGGGGCTCCGGGGTTCGGCAAGCCGGGGCTTGTCGGCCAGAAAGGTGACCAGGGCCCTCCGGGACAACCGGGGATGCCAGGGGACAAGGGCCTCCCTGGGTTGGACGGCCAGCCGGGGGTCACGGGCCAGCAGGGACTGCCTGGGCCTCCGGGAATTCAGGGCCCCAGTGGGCTCCCAGGGAAACATGGCATACCTGGCTTTAAAGGCGAAGTGGGTCCTATAGGGCCTCCCGGACTGCCAGGAATCAGGGGAGATCAAGGCCCTAGTGGATTGGATGGGAAGCCTGGCATCCCAGGGGAAAGAGGTTTGCCTGGACCTCACGGTCCGCTGGGCAAACCAGGTCCTAAAGGTGAGTCTGGGCACATAGGATTGCCAGGGGCTCCAGGGCTGAAAGGAGTGCCAGGGACAAAAGGGGAGCCAGGGCTGACTGGGGCCCCCGGGTCCAGGGGCCTTTCAGGGATCCCTGGGCTCCAGGGGCCATCAGGGCCCATGGGTCCCCAGGGTATTCCGGGCCTGAAGGGGGAGCCGGGCTTGCCCGGGCTCCCGGGTGAGGGGCGGCTGGGTGATAAGGGAGCCCCAGGGCCTCAGGGGCCCCCTGGAAAGCCCGGCCCTGCTGGTGTTAACGGGATCCCGGGGCCCCCAGGGCCACCCGGGCCTCCTGGTCCCCCAGGAGCCTTCATCAATGGGCCAGGCACGGGGGTGATGGGGCTGGAGGAGAACGGGGTCGGGGGGGAGACTGTGCCGGGAGGCGGGAAGCCGGGGAAACCCCAGTTCGGGCGCGGTGAGCTGTCAGCCAGCATGGCTCCCGCGTTCACCGCCATCTTGAGCACCCCCTTCCCGCCCTCTGGGATCCCCATCAAGTTCGACAAGACCCTGTACAACGGGCAGAACGCCTACAACCCCGCCACCGGCATCTTCACCAGCCCCTTGGCCGGAGTCTACTACTTCTCCTACCACGTCCACGTGAAGGGAACCAGCCTGTGGGTGGCGCTGTACAAGAACAATGTGCCAGCCACGTACACCTACGATGAGTACAAGAAGGGCTACATGGACCAGGCCTCCGGCAGCGCCGTGCTGGAGCTCAAGGAGAACGACCAGGTGTGGGTGCAGATGCCTTCAGACCAGGCCAATGGGCTATACTCCACCGAGTACATCCACTCATCCTTCTCAGGGTTCCTGCTCTGTCCAACATAACGGCTCAAAACAGCGCCAGCACCTCGAAACATCAGCCATACTTATGGATATCGAAGAACAACAACGACGGCAAACAAACACAAAATGACTGCGTGAGCAAAAGAGCCGGGAGCTAGGAAGGCACTCTCGCTCGGAGGCAGCCTGTCTCACCCTTTCCAGTTCTGTTTTTTTGGGGTTTATTTTTGTATTTTAATGTTGTGTTCGTTTTTACTGTTAGCCTATATTATTTTATTATTAATATTTTTTATTACTGTTGTTGCGGTCGTTTTATGGAAATCAGACTATCAAGGGCTTTGCTCCGCCGTCGGTCGGCGATCATCATTAGAAACCTACCCTTGTGCCTGCTCGGCCCCCGCCCCTGGCCCAGAAACCTACCCTTGTGCCTGCTCGGCCCCCGCCCCTGGTCCAGAAACCTACCCTTGTGCCTGCTCGGCCCCCGCCCCTGGTCCAGAAACCTA